ATTCTCAGCGTAAAGTATTTCAACAAGTTTCCGTTTCTTTCTTCTTCGTCGGTCCTGGCGATAAATATCGAGTGATCGTCAGTTAGATGTTAGCAGTTCACTAACTGAACATCTGAATAATGTGCATTCTTTTCGTTGTATATTGCCAGCAACCACATTGTCTCTTATTGAGTTGTTTGTAACTTTGACAACGAAAGGTTGTACACTTTTCAGAAACGCAGCAGAATAGGTTGTGCGATTAATAAACATAATGATATATTAAAACAAACAAAAATAGATAACTTGTTGAAATATCTAGATGGCAGGAACAGGTAGACCAGATGATCAAGCAGATGATCAACACCTCTTACGCTCGACATTCACCACGAGAAGCACGGCAATCGGGTTGCATCTCTCAATTTACAACAGATATCCAATTTATTAAAGGACATAATAACGTCGTAGCCGATGCACTATCACGAAAGGATATGTTAACAAGGCGGTGATCTTGAAACAATAACAAAATTATAAGTAGGCGATGCAGACCTAAAGAGCTGCAAAGAGAATTCTAACTTGATTCTCAAACCTGTATCCATTCCTTTCTCAAACGCATCTATCATTTGTGACGTTTCAACGGTCAGTAACCGTCCCTTCGTACCTCAAGCTTGCCGACGCCAAGTATTTCGATATTTTCACAAACTTTCACATCCAGGAATCAGAGCTACTACTAAACTGATTACGGAACGTTTCGTGTGGCCGAAGATAAACGCAAATATAAAGCGATGGCCCCGAAGCTGCATGCAATGTCAACGCAGCGAAATTCAAAAACACACAATTAGTACTGTTGGGAAGTTTCCACTGCCAGATAAATGTTTCCAACACATTCGTTTAGACATAGTCGGTCCCGTGTCACCATCAAATTCGTTCGCGCATATCCTCACGGCGGTGGACAGGTCCACAAGATGGGCAATAACATTTCCTATAACTGACACATCTGCAGAGACAGCAGCAGGCACATTCCTTGACCGATAAATATCAAATTAGGGAGTACCATCAATCGTTACTACAGACCGTGTTCCCCAGTTCCAATCTATCATATTTCAGGAGTTTACAAAACTTCTGCGTGTGAACCATATTAAAACGACAGCTTGACATCCAGTAGCTAATGGTCTGGTCGAAAGATTTCCCCGCCAATTGAAAAGCTCACTGATGGCACAAGCTGGTACATCGAAATGGAGTGATGCACTACCTCTCGTACTCCTAGGAATTCGTTCCACCATCAAGGATGATTTATGTTGCACTTCAGCTGAACTAGTTTATGGTACTAAATTAACATTGCCAGGTCAGTTGGTTGATCAAGAATCAACAGTGGCAAATGATCCAAGTGGTTTCGTAAGCCGTCTATTACAAACAATGCAAAACATTAAAGCGATACCTCCGCGTGAACATAACAACCGCGTACAACTTGATAATAACCTGGAGACTTGTAAATTAGTTTTTGTCTGAGCCGACGCAGTTAAAACGCCATTGAAACAACCGTACGAAGGACCTTACCAAGTAATTAAAGGAAGAAAACTAACACTTCAACACTTTGAGTATTTTCATTTCCCAAAATAAAATACGTTATTCTCATTGTTCTTTTGTCGTTCTTGTATGGTTATATTTGTTTCCAATTTATTTCTTTTATATGCGTGATTGTGTGAAGACTAGCCTCTTGCTGCTAACATAACTAAAGCGCAAATGTACACCACCTCTTCGTGTTTACGCTCGAACAAGTAGCAATGAGGCCAAACGTATGTTACTACCGTTTTGTTTTTATTTTATTTGAGTTTCCACTTGGTGCAAATCATTTACTTCTATACATTCGAGGCAAGCACGTAGAAAATTCGGTGCAAGCACACATTGCAGGCATGGAGAAAAGTTATTCTATGTGTTCTCGATCGCACCACATATCATCGAGTATTTTGGATGCATTTATTTATTAGCTGTGAACAGCATTTTTGCCGTCTTATGTCAATTCTCATAATGTTTGTGCTTATTGCACAGCTTTTATTCCAGTCAACCAAGAGTTTGACGTAGTTGTTTTTCACTATCTGAGTGAATATGAAACCAACTGTAGTGTGGTCATTTAAACCAATCTGAACTGGAGTAAGTGAAATGCATTGTTTATGTGGTCACAAATGGACTATGGTCAGATTTGTTGAAACAAAAGTGGTCTTCAAAAACTTTTAACATTTGGTTCACCACCATACTGAAGTTGTTGAACAAGGATGTCTGGTGGTTGTTTGATAAATGCAGTTTGAGATAATACTGTTCTGAATTAATTGTAAATATCGAATAAGTCTCTTGTATACAAACATAAACAAATCTAACCATCATGAGTATCCTCATTTTTGAAGGGACTGACATATTAATGTGTAACTTGTCTGAGGAGGGAAAATTATATGAGCAATAACTGACGTTAATAGCTTTTTCTGTTCGTATTGAAATTGCATAAATCACTAATGTAAGTGTCAAATTACTTAGCCACATATTTTTCATAAGTAAACCGATACACTTTTGTTTCGAACGTGGTAAGTGAACTAAGTTATTGGTGAATATTTATTTATGATTTTTCCGATATAAAGATTGAAAACGAATTTCGGTAAAAAAGATCGGCAAACACTGACCAAATTGTAAACAGAGATCTAGTTCAAATGATTTGGAGTAGAATGTGAGCGATCCCCGGCTTCGGTCAAACGCAAACCATTCAGCTAAACGAACTTAAAAATTTTGAAACCCTGAAATACCCGAATTACCTATAGTTTAAGTTTTTCAGTACGCAATCTGATGATGACGACATGCTTAACGTCAAGTTCAAAACTGGAATGCTATGATAGCAATCAATGTCAACCAATCGACACTATCACAGTCAAAGTTTTGCATTTTTGGATGTAGTTGTGCAGTGTGAACTCTATTTAGTTAACCGAGATGCATTGTTGGAGATGATTTGTTGTCGGAACTGGTTGAAAAATTTCAAAAGCACAATCGAATTTTGCTCAACTGAAGAACTTTGAATCGAGCAGTCTCTGTCAAGAGATAACATCCAGGTCTGTAAAAGTCATAATGGAATTAGTTGGTGAATGGCACTGCCTTTAGCCACAGTCAGGAAACACGAAAACATTTCAGAAATCTTAGTTAACCGCAGAACAGAAAGTTAAAGGCAATAATTGGAGTGCACACACGCGAGAAAATTATGTGAGCATGCGTTCTGGCAGCCTTTTCGGACTGGAAGTATACTTAACCTTAGTTCGTAATTGTGGCAGTTAACCTGGCGACCAGTCAGAATGTAGCGGAATTTATCATTTCAACCCTCTTTGTAAGCGATTGTCATCGGCTATCCTAGTTCTGTGATTCGTGCCAGCGTTTTCGTGTCGCTGCAACCTTTATTCCGGTAGTTTACTGAAATTCCGTCATTTACGTTGTTCTCTAAATGTTAGGGCTTATGATTTCGAATCAATCTGGTTTTCTTGTTTTTTGCTAATACTTTGGTCAGCTGACCTGTTTATTCTTTCCGGCACGCTAACGTGCTCTATGTGATTACAATAGCACTCACCTTAATGCCGAAACTATTTCTCTCATAGCAAGTCCACTTCTTATTTCTGTACTACTAATGTATTCCAATGTGCTTGCATCTCGTTTTACGGAAAATTATCCAACAAGATTTTCTGTACAATAAATTCAAATTGTCTGTAGTTAAACAGACACCTTGTGTTGATCCAGTGTCAATTGCATTTATTCAAGACGTAGAACACTACTCTACTAGGACTTCAGAATAACCCAAAAATTCCCTTGAAAGTCCTCAGATTTTGAAGATAGGGTTTTCGGTATCCTTGTTTCTATCATGAATTAACATCCGCCATACTGCAAACGTACTTAACAGTAATAAAAGTGAGGAAGTATCATATGGTAAGTCGTTGCTTTCTCCTTGCTCTCGTTCGACTAGGCAACGATTTCGAGGTCGTTCGGCGTAATAATTCACTTCTACCCTTGCGTTCATTCAGTCTTCATAGTGAATCATTACTCTTCGTTCTTAGTGTTAGTATTTTCGAACCTTACCCCTGTCCATCTTCTAGCTACTGCTAACAGCACTTTTTATCACTGGTCTAATATTCCTCTACTTTTTTATAACACTCAACTTTTTCATCAGAAGTTGTCATATATTCTCTTCAAACACAAGTCTAGATGCTTGTAAAATGTTGCCACTTAAGACTATTCTGTCAACAAATCAATCAACTTCAGTCAGCCTGATATACAGTGAGAATGTTGAAGTTTGATGCTTGGACGCAAATAATTTGTTTTGGGAATCTTATGGTGTTGTTTCGTTTCGCTAGATTGTGTGACTGAAAGTCGTGCGCTTGTTGCTAGTTGGAAAGTGTTCCTTTGAACTTGTGTCGATATTCCATTTGATTCAGCTGCGTGTATTAAGTATCCTGATGGTTTGGAAATTCGTCAGCATAACATCTACAAATCACTGTTAAACCAGCCTTGTGTGCTTCCGTAGTTTATACATGAACTGTTTGTTTTGTTTCTTCCTGATTACTCTCTTCAATATTATTACTAATTGCCACATCATATGTCCCAAGTTTTAACTGTTTTCTATTTTGTAGTTGTTATTTGAGAAATCTCAAATTTGAATGACTAATGATGAAGGGTTGCAGCGTCAGCTGCTTCAAGAATTGCAGAAACAACGATTCCAACAATTGGGTCATCAGTTAACTTCAATCTGTTGGGATAAATGTGTTACGAAATTAAGTAATTCACTTGACTCTAGAACTGAGAGTTGTATAGTGAATTGTGTAGAGCGTTACATTGATGTTTCCGGTGCACTTACTCGTCGTCAGAATGAAACACGTTTAGGATTTATGGATGTACAACCAAATGATTAGTTAATAAAAATACATCGATTGCAAATTTCTTTCTTCTCGATTCAAACCTTTGATTTTTTCCAAAATAATTGATTGACCTGACTTATATTTCAGATGGTTAATTTCCCCTCAATACGGTAAGATGTCAATAAAGTGTATGTAATGTTTTGTTTGTTACTTTCAGTCTGCTTAAATGCACTGTTGGATCTGCATTTTGTTCAGTAGGTCTTACTTTCAAATAAAATAAATACTGAAAAATAATGCTAATTTAAATAACCAGGTGCCGTTTTCACGTTTATTATCAAATACAACTACTTATCCGGAGTACGGAATTACAAATATTCAAGATGATAGTGATTTTGACAAACGTGTATTAAATAATTCCGCACCGGTCATTGTTGACTTTCATGCTAAATGGTGAGTAATTATTGTGAAACTGTGATAATTAGAAGTACTTGAATTATTATACAAACTAGGAATCCCAGAAATAATGAAATTGAATCTAGACGTACTAGATAAGCACAAACGAATGTAATGTATTTGGAATTCGAAATCAAGCAGTCAACAAGTACCAGGAATCATTAGTTCATGCAAACACCACATCCGCCACAGCTTAAATTATAGTCTAATTTTCCGCAATCGATTTACGTCTTCTCCTTATATTCATACTGTGTCTGTCCGACTGTGTATTGGATATAGACTCTGTATGATTTAGAATATTTTTGTGGCTCGTGTGATCAGACTCCTATTTCGATTGTACGAATGATTGTTATCACCTATTCTCGTATATCATCGTCGACTTAGATCGCGTTAGTCCATAACGGATTTAAATAAGTCCATTAACGAGAATGGCATTTGAATACATATATTTTGTATATGAAGTGAATGAAACAGAGCCAAGCAAAATGACGCACAGGGAGGATGGCTGTGAAGCCAACTCCATTTTAATTAAGCGTTACTCAGTATTTATAGGCAGACAAAATAAGCTACAGACATACAATGAGTCATTGGACATGAAGTGTACACACATATACGCTCATGTGAAAACAGTCAAGGCTAATAAGCGAATAATTGACAAGGTCAAAATATGGTTCAAGTAAAATGAATAAAATAGGATGTCCGGAAGTTAGAATAAAGGTATATGGGCTTGCCATAATAACTGACACTACAATATACTCATTAATATTAGAGTTAGTAACTGAAATTGGGACGGACTCACCTGGGTCCTGAAATTGCATACAATCGCCATGTCGTTTGTGTACTGATATCATTGATATCTAGAATTTAAACCATAGATATTCCAACGCTATCCTACCTCACGAAATAATGTTGGGTCTTCAAATCCCCAAGTTCTGAACCACGTGGCTTCATTTAAAATATAATTCTCACAATGACTGAAGTATTCATTAGAAGTAACTTCATGATAAGGAGAAACAACAGTTGATATGAAATCATCCGAATTGTAATCAAAATCGAGCTCATTTAGTACTCGTGCTTCGCAATGAACAAGTTTCCCACAAGAAACAAATGCATTACAATGACAAATAATATATGATATGACATCAAGATTTGATTTTTCTGAAGTACTTTCCTCAAATTTATTATGAATGTCATTGCAGAGTAAAGGATCATTAGAAAGATCACCATCTATCAACACTGCATCAGGTTTCCGATCAAGATTAGATTCACTCAACATATTTTCCTCAGATTTGTAAGAACTTTCATCAGGAATATGTGAATCATTAGGACAAACTATATCTGGCACATAACATGAGAGATCTGATAAGAAGTTGGTAGATTAGAAACAGTTGTCTCACAATAACTCTGAGTTTCATTTAATTCTGTATTGCTGTGTGACTCTATACCACTTTTCGAAGTCGTGGATAAAGATAAATGATCATTAGGAACATCCTACCTAAAAGGATCACAATGCTAAATTTTTAGCAATAATTGCAGTGGAATGAACCGTAGTATTGTGGTGTGTGCTACTTATATTGACATAAGTAGTATATGATGTTAGTCGTGAACAGAAGGTTTGACAGCAGAAAGACAAGAGAATCGAACAGCAAAGAATGGAAACAGGATGCAATTTGTATGAAAATGCAAGAACAATGAAGTGTGAGTCATTTTGAGACAATTGGTGGACATTTTGCAAATTAAGCATTTACTTTATGATTGTTAGATTTTATTAACAAGTCCTGTAGTTTTGCGTTACATACATTCGATTGACCCCACGGATGTTCCATTCACAACACTACTAAAAAGTGATTAAACACGTCCAGTCGCACCGCATTTATAGCATTTAGAATTACGAAATACACATGAATTAAATGAGTGAAACATGCCACAAGACAGAATTGACCAAACTTGCGCCCATATTTTTGAACAGTATCGTAACTCCTCAATACATTATCTGCATAACACCCTACTGTAAGAAATTTCTCGAGGTCCAGCTAGTCACTTTAGTGATTTCAAATTGTGCTCCATATGCATAGAAACAAATAAATCTATCCTCCCAACTCTCAACATCTTCCTTACTTGTATTCGAGTTATTTCATTAGAAAATATTTAAATAATAATATCGCCAGTTTCTGTCTTTTTCAAAGTAAAATGATCTATGACTGCTAAATAAATGATATAATTACAGTTAATCGTATTTTGTCAAATTCTCCATTGTGAATGATTGTCTAAATATGACGGTCGGCTGGCCTCAACCTCTATGTGTAATTCCAATGTTTTGACGTAATACTATAATCTCATATATTCTGAACGAATTAGAGCCAGTTTGATTTGTATGGTTTATCACCATTCCATACTGATCGTCAGCAAATGGCAACACAAAATTTAAGTGATCGTAGTTTATGTATCGAATAGTTATGATACGAACATGGTGCTTGTGAATATTTCAATGTGGACGATTTCAAAACATAATGTTGGACATTGCGATTACTAATTAGGCAACAATTCAGTAGTATCTAGTGCGAAAATGTTCAGAAAGTTACCGACACAACTCTACACTGTAATAACAAAATCGAATCTACTGTAAGAAGAATACTTAGTAATCACATGCACACACATACACACACATAAAATATACCTACACGATTATCAAACTGTCATCTTTTGATAGACTATTTTACAAGAATTTTGAAGTGAATACGTGCATGCATAGAAACAGTAATAACAACTGAACAATTCATTGATTCAAACAACCGATCAAAAAAAGAATTAATTCATTGATAAGATAGAAGCATTGGAAAATCATTTCACATCTGAATTTCAGCACACCTAGTGTTTATGCGAAGGAATTCCTTTGATCGTTGATCGACCGTCCTATTAAACCACCCGTTAAAACCTTTTCAACAAGTGTTTTCTTTGTGTTAACTCATAAATGTACTTTAATATTGATGGAAACGGTTTGTAGTTTAAATGGATGTTTTTGGTGTTGTTGAAATCTCTAGAACGAATAGTTTCATTATAGAGGTTTCCTTGACGTCCCTAACAACGTCATTGGATCCTACTTCCTTTTTGAAGTGAGCTTTACTTACGAATGCATCAGTACGGACTGGTAGGGAAACTGCATAATCTATTATCATTGACATTAATCGACATAGACAACTATACACATGAATTCGATTGTTAGGCAGTTGAAATTGTGGATTGAAGAAATTTTAGGGAGCTTCATCATAAGGTGTTTGGGCGATTGTTGAATTTAAAGTCTCATATAACGGACTAATTTCAGTCAGACAACTACTGAGAACCGAGAACCACTGGAGAGCTATTTTGTTCCAATATGCGACTACTTAACAATGTGTCCACAGCCCCATGAAGACTCGAATCCAGGACCTTCAAGTCTCATAGTTAGCTCTTAGCCTTCAGTTCGCTGAGTTGGTATCCAATGGTTTAAATTTCTAACTTCAATCAGTTTGCGATATTGTAATCTGACAATCAAAACTGAGCGGTGGCTTTCCAGAAATATTCTATTGATTCATGAGTGCTGACTGAGATTGAATCAATCTGATATTGACCTATTTTCATTCTCAATATGAATAATAATAATCTATGAAATAATATTATTGTCACGTAATCTCATTAAAATTTCATATCATGAACTGGCCATGGTTAGACAGTAGTTGATAAAGAATCGACCTAATGAATTACAATTTAAAACACAATCTGACCTCGTGTTGACTCGTATTGACTAATATCACACTGCTACAAAATGTAATATTCAAAGATTCATTAGAAATGACAGAATATTCAAATATGAAGTGATTCAATAAAGTAAGTGACAATAAAGTTAGTCTAACCTTTAATTTGGGAGTCTTCTTTTCAGAAATTTAAAACAATTAGTCTGATTTTATTGTGTTCGGTGACTCAATTCGTTTACGTCACATGCTTCTCACTGTGTACGAATCGCACTATCCAAAAAAAGATGATATGTGAGTAAGACGATTTAACTGTCAAACCGAATTAAGATTATGTAAATAAAAAAAGCATCACTTGAGAGCTTAACTAGGACATAAATTATTTTCTTCAGTAGCATGGCACCCAAGTAATATCTCTGATACCAATTGACTTTGGAACAATGAATGATTGACTTGTTTATATGACATCACGTGATAGGTCTAGAAAACCCAAGTCTATCAAATTCTTTTACATATGACAGCTGAACTCTTCGTCATGTTATTCTATCACCTAGTTCAATATCAGCACAGAACTTCGTAGTCAATGTAATTTCCAGCATTGAACAACACAATATTTTCTCTAGAACTTTCGAAATTAGTTTTGCGGTGTGAAGTAACTAACTGCTAGAATTAATAATTGTGTTGGATTTCATCGTAGTTGAGTTTTTTAAAGTAATGCAGAGAGATCACATGACAGTCGATGAGTCAAGAAATGTGATTATGTAGTATTGCAAATAACTGGGAATCGACATGAAGCATATTCAATATGAGAAACGAACTCGGAAGTAATTATTTATTGCTTTAGGTCAACGAGAGACTTTAGAATGACAGGTATGAAACGCTGAGTAGCAGTGGACAGTTTACAATTATTTGTATGGGCCTCTTTATCAGAGTTAATGAAGGTCCCGTCTAATGAGTAGTTCCATACCTTTAAACCACCCGGTTAACAATGAACAGTTTACATTCCGAACATCAATCAATGCACGATACCCATCACATGCTCGATAGGGTTGATTTAAATTAGGAAATGAGAGAGGTATTATTGATCTGTTTTATGGCGTTTGACCACCAGTACATCATCTAGAGTGCACCGTGATAAATTCCTACAATTTTTAGGAGTCCATTGACTCGATGAACAAAAATCTTTATGATTCACACACAAGTCTTGTGCTTTTGGTTTTTCTCTAATTCTTAAATTCAACATTAATTCATTCTCAGCAATTATTGCATGTTG